ATTATTTTATAAATGTAACGATTTTCCAGAAGCCTTAGCTATTGAAAGTCCATAATACTAATAAAATGCTAATAAAACATGCTGTTTTCAAACCACTACTCCTCATCCGTTTTCAAAGATATGAACATCAAATTAGCATGCAAGATAGTATATGTAATATAGATTAGAGCTATGGAAAGATTTAATGGATGTAAAAATATTAATGGTGTAAAAAAGCTCATTCAAAATAGAGAAAATTTCTTCTTTATCATAATACTTCTATCTATTTCAACTTCTGAAAAAATCGTATTAAATAAAGATTATCTCTCCATAGCACTGTTCTACAAATGTATCCTGATTAAAAACCTCTAATAATTTTATAAATGTAACGATTTTCCAAAAGCCTTAGCGATTGAAAGTTCATAATACTAATAATGTAATAACATATTTGAAAATATATTTTGTTACACTGTTTCCTTTTTTAAAGAAAAAAAGGGAACCATAAAAAAATCCGCATATAGTGCAGGACACCTAGTCACTACAAATTTTATTAGTCTTGCAAATCCTTTAACTCCTCCAAAAATGGAAATGTGTGACCAAAAAAACAAGATGACATTTTGAAGCTAAGACCTTTTTCTACAAAATGACATTTTCATTTTGTTGATATGCCATGTTGTTGTGGAGGAATTAAGCCTTAAAGTTGCACAATTTTAACAAATTTACTATGTTAATCCCCCAAAGTGACGTGTTACACACAAATTTTTTATATTAAAAATGAATGAATTGGAAGAATTGAAAATTTTGAAATCTGTATTGCAGATCTTTTATCACGTGATACCAATAAAGAGAATGCAACGTGACAAACCTATTTTTAAAACACGTGACTGTAAAAATTTTATTGCATTTTTGATTGTGAATTTTTTCCCAAATCTGTCGCCGTGGCGCAGAAAGTTGTAGGGACTAGGTGTCCTGTACCATAGACTTCACCATATTTGTGTTTATCAATTTATACTGATGTGTAACACCCCAACGTGCGTGGTATCCCACCAAGGAATGTGATCAGCTGCAGATCACAAAAAAAAACATATATATAACCAATCAATATTAGTTTTGATTTTCTTAGAATGTCGCGCACCCCATTGTACAATAATGATAAACCAATCGTGTAACAGAAATAACCTCTTCCACAAAGTATCATTTGACCAAATAAATAAAACTCAAAATTATTTTTATCATTTAAACGAATTCCTTTTGAATAATAAATTATCATTTGATAGATAGTATACCTGTTTTAAAAGGTAACTTGACCTTTTATTGACTCATTCTTTTATTGTAATTGCTTGTTTCGTTTTTTTTTAATAGATATTTTTATTTATTGGACAGGAAATTTTTTATTTTTCAAAAAAAAGCAGAGAATATATTTGCAACATTAAATAGTTTTTTTTAAAAAATCTCCCACTTTCTTTTTATTGTATTTGGTATATAATTATTAATCTCAACATAGAAAAATACCATGTCACTCTTTACTAAATATTCTCCATGACTCCTAAAACACGGTCACTTATTAATAACAAGAGTCCCATTGATATTGAACCTTATAAAAGTAAATTTTTTACAAGTGTCTATAGTTCCGAAGAATCTTCAATAGAAGGTTTAAAACAAAAAAGTATTAATGAAACTACTACAGAAGATGAAAGTGAGGAAGAATTAAAACTAAGTTCAAGAGGTCTTGTTCAAATTGTAGGTTCATTGGATATATCGTTGTTGGATAATGACGCTCCTTTATTATTCAATAATCAAGTCGATGAGTTTGACGGTGTTGTGTTTCTTTAATTACTATGTTATTTTTACACACGCGTGTATTTTTTATCAATTACTAAGTATTTATTTATTTTATATCGTAGTTACTTTAGATCCTCCCTCTAACTCGCTACAATTAACAACACGTAACGTTCGTAAATATGATGATCCATTGGAAAATAAAAGACGTCAAGGTATTATGTATTTTATAATGATTATTTTATTTTTATTTTAATAAAAAATTAAATCGCTCAACAAAATAAAAAACGCGGTAAATTTAAAATAATAGGAAGACTGCTATTGGTATCATTACTAGAAAACTTTTGTTTATTATATGATACAAATCCAGAAAGAAATCATGAACTATTTTATCTTATATGTAAAAATTTAAGTACTATGGGTATAATTGAAGAAGAGGTTAGTAAAATATACGACATTTTTATTTAAAAAAGAAATTTTTGTTTTATACATATAAATATAAAAAGATGCCAGTATTCTCATTATAGTTTTAAAAAAATGAATTATGTCATGTTTAACACCTTATTAAATTCCTGAAGCACATTGATGAGATGTCTACCGTTCGCTCCTCTTATCAACGTGCTTTCAAAGCTTTGGTCATACAAGCTCTTAATTCAATTAAACAAGAACGTTTAATGAAGGAATCTCGTTTACTTATGCCTTCTTGTCCAGAAACTGATTTAGATAAGCCCGATAGACATTCTCCTCATGATAATAAACTTCCGTATGTATTTGGTGATAAATTATGATATTTAGATAATGATAATATTATATCAATGCATTTACAATATTTTAATTTGCAAAATTTACTTTCTTTTTTTAATATCCTTCACCCCAAAAATAGTTATTCTGCAAAAACAAAAAAAGATAACTCAAACTCAAAAGTTTTAAAAAATCTTTCGTTCGGTGATATTTTGGACCTTGAGAATAGTCGTTACTCCAATGATTTCATTGAACTTAAATTATTAGGTAAAGGTGGATTTGCAAGTGTTTGGAAGGTAATAATAATAATAATAATTTCTTTTTAAAAAAAAAGAGATTTTTAATTGGTTCAATATTTCGATATACATATAGGCTAAAAATAAATTAGATGGTAGAGAATATGCCATTAAAAAAATCAGATTAAGAGGTGATAAAATTCCTGAAGAAAAAGAAAAGGTGATGCCTTTTTCTTTTATAAAACAATATCAAAATAATAATAATAATAATAAGTATTATTTATTATCATCATAAAATATTGTAGATATTTCGTGAGATTAAAATCCTTGCAAGATTAGAACATACAAATGTTGTGCGTTATTATAGTTCATGGCTCGAACATATCAGTAGTAAACAACGTAGTAACGAAGATGAGACATCATTATTGTTAAATTCCGAAGAAAATTCTTCGCGTGTTGAAAGTTCAAATGGATATCATTCTGATAACGAGTCTAGTATCAATTCAAACCAAGATAGTTCTGATATTTTTAGAATGTCTTTTTCTGATGATGATGGAATTGATTTTGTTGATGATATTTCTGCGGCTGGAAAATTAAATAGTGATTTTAATAACACTCCTACTCACACCACCAACACCAACTATATTTATAATAAAAAAAATAATAACAGACTTTCCCAAAACTATGATACTTTTAAAGCCGATAAAATAAGTCATTCTCATATTCCAAAAGATGTTGAATCTTTGAATCTTGAGAAAGATTGGGTGCTTTTCATTCAAATGCAGTTATGTAATAGTACATTGCGCGATTATTTAAAAAAACGTGATTCCAATATATTGGCGCCAACAACTGATCTGTTAAGCTCCGTTGATCATAACATCATAATCGATTTATTTAGAGGCATAGTACGTGGGGTTGCATACATTCACGATCAAGGGTTGATTCATCGAGATCTCAAACCCGGAAACATATTTATTGGTGGCCTTGCAGATGGTGGGCAAGATAATTTGGTTGTTGCCAATAATTTATTATCTTTTTCTAATGAACGAGTAGTACCAAAAATCGGCGATTTTGGATTAGTAACTGCAGTAGATGGCGATCACACCTACTCAACAATTGATAATTCAATAAATAGAGGATTAAAAGGATGCGTAGAAAGTGATCATGGTTTAAAAATTAATAACAAAAATAACTACAACAATAATAATAGCCAAACAAAATCAGCTTATTCTTCTTCTTATTCTTCAAAATCTAGAACTACTGGTGTTGGCACTATAACTGTAAATTAAATTTCATTTATATATATATATTTTTATTATATTCTTATTTTGAAATTTTAAAACTTTATTACTATTATTAATAGTACGCTTCACCTGAACAACTTGCAAGGCCCCCACAACCTTACAATGAAAAGGTTGACATCTATTCATTAGGAATCATATTCTTTGAATTGCATTTTTCATTTTCCACAGGGCATGAACGTGCTCAAGTTATTAAAAATCTAAGAAATGGAATATTACCTAAAGGGTTTGTTAAAAGATTCCCAAAAGAGGTTCATATACATATTTATTATTGTTATTTTGTTTTTATTATATTGTATATTTTTTAAAAATGTTTATTTATAGGCAGCATTCATTTTATGGATGATGGCAGAAGATCCCGATAAGAGACCAAGTGCAAAACAAATTCTAGATTTTGAATTATTGTCAGATTCAAATCAAGTAGTTAATTAATAATAATAATAATTACAATAATTTATGATCATCATTTATTCCTCTAATTTAAATTACTATTTTTTTTTAATTTAGGAAGAGCATTCTAAAATACAACTTAGACTTGTTGAAAGTACACATAAATTAGAAATGGTAACACAAGAAAATGAAATTTTAAAGAAAAAAGTTGCAGAATTAGAAGAAAAATTAAAAAAATATGAAAATCTCATTACTTATAATACAAAAGGTGCTTCATAGTAAAAAAAACGCTTTCATACACAACCACAACGTATAGGGGAATCGATTTTTTGAAAGTATGAGGTAATCAAATATATTAATTTTCCTGGTCTTGCTTTATTTTTTATTTTATAAGGTCCCATACATGCCTATGATTTATAAATAAAATTTACAAATGTATAGAATGAATAAATTAAATTTTTTTTTTTATTTATTTAAAAAAAAAATACCGATTTTCTTTTTATAAATTATTATAAGGAAACCGTTAATAATAAAATAAAAGATACATATATAAAAAAACCTACTTAAAAGTTTTTTATCTAGTTGGTGATTTTTGAACACGTATTATAATTTCTTTACTACTTCTTAAAACCCTTCTTCTTGTTTTGAAAATTGGTTGATCACCTTCTTGATTATCAGCATCTTGATGTCCATTTGAATTATTTTCATTGTTTCGGTTATCATCACCTGTTTTAACTTCCGGTTTTGAATCATCATCAATAGAATTCATTGTTTTACGTTTAGTAGTTCCTTTATAATTACTGTTTTTACTAATATCATTATTACAATTACTATTGTCACTTTCATCATTGTTGTTATCTTGAAATGTTGATGATCTATTATTGTCATAATCATTCTTTACTTTATCCTTTGATTTTTTGCTTACATTATATTTATAATCATCATCATCTCTTTTATTTCTTTTATTTTTATTATTTGGCATTGTTGGTGATTCCACGGTATCATCATCGCTTATATCCATTTTTTCTTCTGTTTCTTGGTTTTCTTCAGAATTTTCTGATACCATTTCTTCATTATCATCATCAATATCCATAACATCAAAATCATCATCATCAAACATATCATCAAACTGAATCACCTCACTCTCACTATCAAAATTATTTCGACTATAATCACCATTTATTACAGCCCGGCCCCAATGCTCTCTGTCAACCTCACCACCATAATATACAAAAAGCTCTTCTCCTTTTTTAATTTCACGTTTTGTCAAACATATAACTTGGTTGACAGTGCTTCCTTCAATAAACACCATATTACCAAATGGATCTTCATTCATAAAATGGAAAGGACAAAAAATTTTTCCTTGTGGATTAGTGAATGGCTCGCCATTATCATCAGTTGCATCAAGTATTGTCTTCTTATATCTCATTGAATAATGTGATGATCTGCCTACTTCATCTTTATGTTGATCAAATTCATCTTCACTCATTGGAATACCAAAATAAAATCCTAAAGGTGTTGATGTTGGAAGATTTCTTTTGGCAAATAATCCATTACCAGCATTTAAAATGGTAGACTCTTTAACTTCAACCACATCAGATAAACTTTTTGGTACATTAGTCAGGTCCAATCCACTCATGAGTTCCTCATCCGTAGCAGCAGGAATTTTTTCAATGTCAAGCGAATCCTCATCATTGTCATAAATACTTTTTGATGTTCTGGTTTGGTGCTTTTTGTTTGAAGTATTTTGTTTGAGTTTGGTAATAGTATGATGAGAATGCTCAACTTTTCGTAATGGATAGATGCACAAAGTTCTTTTTGCCCGGCATTTTGAGCAT